TTTGAGGGGAGACAGTAGGAAACTCTTCCTGTAGGTACTGGAGGGATTTTACAAGACACTAGATCTGAGAACTAGACAAGGGGTCCCATACACTGGCAACAAAACCTATAACATAAAAATTGTGTAATAATCTTTGCTAAATTATTGGTAAGGACGATTCAATTTTTATATGCTAGTCTATAGATTGAATTATATGGTTGAATTTCAAAAAAAGACATTTCTGTAATGCTATATAGTACAAAGGTGGTTTAAATATAATAATGTCCCTTGAGTATAGAAGAGAGAGGTCCCATATTTTTCAGTGTTTGTTGTCTATTTTTTACTATAACTGGCACCCTAGACCTGTTGTCAGCCAAATACTAGTAGCACATCTGCCAGTATAGTAAGAGTGGGTGATATTCAATATTGTCTCATCAGTATGATGTCTCACTTAGATATCATGATATCTTCTCCATCAAAACTGTTATGCAGGTAATAAATGACTATATTCGCAATACACAATAGTTGTTTAAAGGTTCCTAAAATGCCAGCATACGGTACATCTAGTTTAGTAGTGATACCTTCTATACTACCACTTGTATTAAGAGTTGTGATATCTCATAACTATTGATTGCATGCCATCATCTATGGACTACCACTCACAATAATAAGGATATACAGTAACAAACAATAATCCAGTTTGTACTAATAACTGCATGTAACTGAAATATCACAACAGTGACTAAACACAATGTGCATTGCCCACCCTTATAGTAAGTATAATATTAATAATATCTGAAATTGAAATTTTTCTACAGTTTTATATGGATACTTGAATTTCAAAAAGAGATGTTTCGTAATACTATATAGTGCAGGGTTCTATCCAGTGGGGGGTGGGGGGGAAGCTTCTCCCCCAAACTCTTCATCTTCCCCCCAAAACTTCAAGCTTCCCCCCTGTGTACTTCTGTAACTGCATGCATGTACTGTACATGTACATACATGTATGTACACAACCTTCCCCCCCTGGTCAACTGCTCTGGGCTTCCTCCCCAAACAAAAATTCCTAGATTGAACCCTGTAGTACAAAGGTGGATATCATATTGGCAGTTCCCTTTCTACAGAATCCCAATTAGAGGCCCTTCCAAATTTCTACTACAGTACATCCCACTCTCTCTCTTATGTAGTGACTTATTACAAACATCTCTACACTATATACAACATGTGAAGTAACAATGTCCATGGACACACAAAAACACAACATTTCATGTATCCTGAATATAGTGATGTACTCTTTGAATAGTGAATAAATTAGAGGAGATAGGTCTTATATTCTTCAGTTTTGCTTTGGTATGTTTTTACTATAACTGACACCCTAGACCTGTTTGTCAGCCAAATACTAGTAGCACATCTGCCAGTAGTAAGTAAGAGTGGGTGATATTGAATATAGTCTCATCAGTATGATGTCTCATTTAGATATCAAGATATCTTCTCCATCAAAACTGTCATAATAACAATGATTATTAGTAATACACAATATCTGCATGTTTCTAGAATGTCAGCATATACAGTACACATCACTTTATCTAGTTTAATAGTGATACCTTCTATACTACCACTTGTATTAAGAGCTATGATATCTCATTACTATTGATTGCATGCCATCATTTATGGACTGCCATTTACAATAATAAGGATATACAGTAACAAACAATAATCCAGTCTGTACTAATAACTGCATGTAACTGAAATATCACAACAGTGACTAAACACAATGTGCATTGCCCACCCTTATAGTAAGTATAATATTAATAATATCTGAAATTGAAATTTTTCTACAGTCTTATATGGTTACTTGAATTTCAAAAGATGTTTCTGTAATACTATAGTACAAAGGTGGATATCATATTGGCAGTTCCCTTTCTACAGAATCACAATTAGAAGCCCTTCCAAATTTCTACTACAGTACATCCCACTCTCTCTCTTATGTAGTGACTTATTACAAACATCTCTACACTATATACAACATGTGAAGTAACAATGTCCATGGATACACAAAAACACAACATTTCATGTACCCTAAATATAGTGATGTACTACTGAACACATGAAAAATGTTTTTTGAATAATTAGTCAATAAAGAAGAGATAGGTCTTATATTCTTCAGTTATGCTTTGGTATGTTTTTACTATAACTGGCACCCTAGACTTGTTTGTCAGCCAAATA